TGTCCACTCGAGCGGGGAAGCTTTGCACCCTTGCCTCACGCCTCGAGATGCGTGGATCCAGGTCTGAACTCCTCGGTGCTGAATTTGATACCTGGCGTCAATGAGCCAATGGACCAGAATGGTTGCAATGTTGTAGATCAAGCGAGAGGATGGCACCGCCTTGTAATGTAAACCTGGCGCATTGACGCCGGATGCGCGCGCAGAAGTGGAAAACCATGACCAGGGCCTCCGCTGCACTTCGGCAATGTCACCAGCACGGGCATCATAGCCTCCTTGGCCTTGCCCCCCAAGAGAGCTTTCCCAATTGGGCCAGTGAGTGCAATGGGTCGAAGGAATCTGAGGCCTCGTAGTTCAGGTGACAGGAAGGTGTGAAGCCACCGAGCCAGACTGCCTGCCGTCTTCTTCACCAGGAGGGCTGGCATGGAGTTGGGCGCAACTGCTTTCTCTTTAATCTCATTCAGTTGCCTTTCCAATTCATCAATTGCGAGGATCAATGGTGAAGTGGCATATTGTGGCGTTCCTTTCTGCTCCGTCTGAAAGATGGCCTTGAAGTGCTCATCCAGGAGTTGAAGTTCTTCAGAAAGGGCTGAGAAGGTTTCCCATCCCGAAACCGAACAACTTTCTTGGTCTGTTTGGGCGCCAACATACGTATTGCCTCATAGAGCCCTCTGGAATCATGGCAAAATGCAGCACGACAGGCTTTCTCCATTACCTCTGCCACTCTGTCTTTCCTTCTTTGTTTGTTGAATTGTTTCAACTGTTTGTGGATCTTATGAAATCGACAAATATGAACTCGCGAGTGAAAAATACCTCTCAACAAGTGATGACCAAGCGAAGGGCGTCTTGCCTGTTCAAGATGCTTCCATTTGGTGGCAACCAACGACTTGACGTTGTCTTCGATTCACAGTGGAACCTTGGAGACTGAGTGGGGTTTGATCCAGCGGTGGGTTTCATCATCAATCTGCTGGATCAGCGCCGTGTAGTCCGAGGCGCCCGCCTGCGCTAGAACTCTCGATCTGCTGGATAAGATTGGTCCAGGTCTCACAGTTACCACGTCGTTCCTGCGCCAATTGAGTGGTATTGCAGTGAGCAAACCATTTGGACCTGTAGACAGGGGATTGCGAATCACCAGAGGTTGATGATCAGGATGATCCCTGTGGGAAGTGGACCAAACATCTAGCGTCACAGGAAAGCTTGTCAGTCTGAAGGTTTCCGCATCAACAAAAAGTCAATGTTGCCTTGCCCATGAGGTCCATCATCGCTGGGAACTCTATCATGGACTCGGAGTGAACTCAGTCCATGAGCCTGCATCAAGTCCCAGAAATGATCGCCTGTCTGTGAGCCAGTGTGAGGTAGTGGTGTATTTTGATGTCTCCCCTATCAAGCAGACATTCCTGAAAGGCAAGGATCGAACCAGGCCATCCACCGATGCCCACAAACGTTTCCTGGCCATCAAAGGATGTGGCCTGGTCTTTGTGACTCCTTGTCGGTATTGGTAAGCATTGGTGACATCAATAGTGCCTTTATTTGTATAGCAACGAACGTGCTGAAGCCTACAGGCAGAACATCACATCAGCTGAAGGTACGACTGCATATCCGTGCGTCACCCATGCATCATTGGCACTCCAGTGTGTGCTCTGGAGCATCACTATACCGAAGCCATGCGTCACCCACCACATGAGCTCAGCATAGCCCCCGGCAGAGAGCGACCCACAATTCCATGAGAAGACCGAGGCACGTGGTCTCCGTTTCCCCGGTGAAGGGGCCCAAGGTGCTTTGCATATGTCAGCAGGAGGTCTGGCGGCAGGCGCACTGAGATGAACATGTCCGCGATAGACCGCAATACCATGTGTGCGCAGCTTGCGAACGAAACGCTTGTAGCTTCTCTTAACAATTGGGTGGGTGGAAAATGAATTCAAAGTCCCATGGGACACGGTTGGCCCTTTGCCACAAGCTTTGGGAGGGATATCAATGAAATCATCAAAAAGAGAACTCCCTTCAGGGCTAAGTGTGGCCTTAGCCTAACCCTCACCTCTCATCTCAAAAAAGCCAAAGGACCGGGGGCTGCCACCACGATCGCAGCGCTGGCGCAGCAGAGATGCCCAATCCCAACAAGCAAGGCCAGTGACCAGTACCACCAAAGGTCAATAGGTAGATAGATAGATAGATAGATAGATAGAAAGGAAAAAATAAGATAAGATAAGATAAGATTAGATTAGTTAAGATTAGATTAGATTAGATTACATTGGTTTCCATTAGGTTAGATGAGATGAGATGAGATAGAGAGAGAGATAGACAGATAGACAGATAGACAGATAGACAGATAGACAGATAGACAGA